CGAGAAGTCTGAGCACCGCAACTTGCTTCCACTTGCTGAAACTAGAAAAGCCCACTCAGCACGAAGACCCAGCACAGCCAAAAATAAATAAATGAAGTTGTTTTTTTTTTAAATGACTTGTCCAAGGATGTTCATAGAAGCTTTATCCATAATAGTCAAAACTGGGAATAATCCAAATATGCATCAATAGAATGAAAGAAATAAATTGTGGTATATTCATACAGTGCAATACTACTCAGAAATAAAAAGAAACAATCTGATACCTGCAACTGTAAATTGAATAGCAAAAATTTTGAACAGAAGAAACTAGATATACAGGGAGTATATGCTCTATGACCATTTATGTGTAGTTCCAGAACAGTGAAAATAAGTTCTGATGAATCAAAATCATGAAAGAGGCAGCCACTGTTGGGGGAGTGGGTGGAGGTAACAGATTACTCGGTTGAATGGAAAGGAACACAAAGAAACGTTCAGGAATGATGGAAATGTTCTCTTCTTGATTAGGCTGGTAGTTACACAGGTGAATGAAACTGTCCAAAAATAACTCAATTTGTAAATACAATAATTACAAAATGAATACAGCCATGTGGCCTCCATTCAGGTCCGGAAATAGAACATTACCAGCACCCCAGAAACTCAACCCCTGCCAACGCGTGTTTCCTAAACACTGTTGCCCCCCAACACTAGAGACAAATGATTTTAAAAACAATTTCTTTATAGTGGTTTGGTGATCCTAGGTCTCTTGACTCAATTTCAAACTATCTCTAAGGTTTATTTATTATAATATTTATTTATTTGTCTGGGCCAGGTCTTAGTTGCAGGAGGTGGGATCCAGTTCCTTGTATGAGTGGGTGCACACTTGCTCAGTCGTATCCGACCCCTTGCAACCCTATGGACTGCATGCAGCTTGCCAGGTTCCTCTGTCCATGGCAAGAATACTGGAGTGCGTTGCCATTTCCTCCTCCAGGGGGATCTTCCCCGCCCAGGAATCGAACCGGGGTCTCCTACGTTGGCAGGTAGGGTCTTTACCACTGAGCCACCTGGGCAGCCCCCTAGTTCCCTGACCAGCGCTCAAACCCCAGCCGCTTGCATTAGGAGTGTGGAGTCTTCGCCACCGAAACAGCAGGTAAATTCCAAAATGTACTTTTTAAATAAAGTTTGTTAGTCCTTGCTATTTTAAAGGTGTTGATTATACAAGGCAATGAACTTTGGCTTTCCAGACTGTTTTACAAGAACCCTGATTTATCTTTGGCTTAAAGGCCCAGCAAGAGATGCAGGAGACACTGGTTCGATCCCTGGGTCAGGAAGATACCCCGGAGGAGGGGATGCTTAAAGGTCCATTCCTAATATTTTTCTACTTACAGTTAAAAATGTCAAGTTTACCTTTGTAGTTTGGGGGACTAAAGGTCTATCTGCATAGTGTAGGATTGTGAGTTTAACTGAATCTCATTGTCTGAAAATAAAGTATAGAACAACTGAAAAGTATTCATTAATTAACTAACAGATGTCTTAGATCCTTGCTACTCCAAGTGGTGTCTGTGGGCCATCATGATCATCTGTCCTCACCTGGAGCTTGTTGGAAATGCAGAATCATAGGCCCCAAACCTACTGAATCAGCATCTGCCTTACGGCAATTTTCCCAAGTGATTTGTATAAACACCAAGGTTTGAGAAATATTAGGGCAGACCAATGAGAAACATTAAGGTAGACTGTCTTCATTTTGCCTGTTTCACACACACATCTTCTTAAATAAACGTTTCTCTGTACGTAACATGCCTGAAAACAAAAATCTGTTTCTGGACTTCCCTGCTGGTACAGTGGATAAGAATCCTTCTGCCAATGCAGGGGACACGGGTTTGATCCCTGGTCCGAGAAGATCCCACATGCCATAGGGCAACTAAGCCCGTACACCATATCTACTGAGCCCACAAGCCTAAAACCTGTGCTCTGCAACGAGAAGCCTGCATACCACAAGAATAGCCCCGCGCTCCTACCCCGCCCCGTTCACTGCAACTAGAGAAAGCCTTTGCTCAGCAACAAAGACCCAGTGCAGCCAAATAAATAAATAAATAAATAATTTTAAAAGTGTCAGCTAATAAATTTAGAACAAATGAAAGTCTGAGAGCATCACCATTTTGTAACTCTAAATGTAACAGATGTTTCAGGCAAAGAATCATTCATTGAGGTTAAATCAATGAGATTAAAGGTCATTAGGTGTATCAGTTACATATTTGGGTGTAACAAATTACCCTAACAATTAGTGGCTGAAACCAAGAAACCATAATAATTGACTCGGTGTCTAAGGGTCACATCCTGGAGTAGGGCTCTCCTGAAATCATAATTAAGACTGCCCACAGTCATTTCAGGACTCAACTAGCGGTACACGGTCCACTTCCAAGCCCACTCGTGTGCCAGCTGGTAGGCTGTTGAGGACTGTTGGACCGATCTGGACTCAGTTTTGCCAAACAATGAAGCTCATTCCATAGGGCTGCTAATGACAGCATCTTGCTGCCCCCGGCACCAGTGACCCAGGAGAGAGGCAGAAGCAGAGCCAGAAGCGAGTCTTTCTACAACCTCATATCAGGAGTGACAATCCCACCACTTCCATCGTATTCTACCAGTTAGAAAAGAGTCAATAAATCTGGTCCACATTCAAGGGGAGAAGATTACACAAGTGCGTGAAATGCCAGGAACAGGGATCACTGGGGTCATTTCAGAAGCTGCCTTGCACAATGAGAAATCAAATGTTTCTATGATGACAAAGTATTACCCTGCAGATTATATACTCATTATTAGAGAAAGCATGGTGAGCTTGCTCCATTTCCATTACTATGGAGAGTCTGCCAGCTTTCAGACTTAGTATCACTAACAGCAGGAACTTCCTGATATGATACAGTATCACAATATCATCTATGAAGTAGTCTTACCAAACGTGTTTAATCTGAATTTAACTCATCTTTAGGCATAATTTTACATTATAGTACATTACATTCTCCAGGCCAGAATACTGGAGTGGGTAGCCCTTCCCTTCTCCAGGGAATCTTCCCAACCCAGGGATTGAACCCAGGTCTCCCTCATTGCAGGCGAATTCTTCACCAGCTGAGCCACTAGCGAAGCCCATAGAATATTTAGGGGATGAATGAAGGTTACCAACAGCATGAGCAAACAGCCAGACAAATTTAGAACGTAGGCTATTCTACAAAACAACCTTGTGAGACTCTTTGAAAGGTCCATGTCATGTGGGGAAAAAATTGGGGGTTAATTCAAAAACTAAAGAGATACTGGCAAATGTAATGTGTGAATCTTGGTTGTATCCTGAATTGGACAAAACAACAACAACTAAAAAAAAAAAACATTTGGGGGATAATTGAAGAAATTTTAATTTGTAATAGCTATTAGGTCATATAATACAATTATTATTATATTATTAATATACAATTAGTGTGATAATACGGTGGGCTTCCCTGATGGCTCAGAGAGTAAAGAATCTGCCTGCAATGTATTGTAAAGAGCCCCTGGAGAAGGGAATGGATACCCACTCCTGCATTCTTGCCTGGAGAATCCCATGGACAGAGGAGCCTTGTGGGCTTCAGTCCATGGAATCGCAGTGTTGGACATGACTGAGCAACTAACATTTTCAATTTTCAGTGTGATAATGGAATTATAATTTTGTATGAGAATGCCCTTATTCTTAGGACGTGATAAAATATTTAGGAGTAGTGTTATAAGATCAGAAACTAACTTTTAAATAGTCTAGGGATTTCCCTAGTGGTCCAGTGGTTAAGAGTCCATGATGCCAATGCAGGGGACTTGGGTTTGATCCTTGGTCAAGGAACTGATTTCATATGCTGTGAAGTGCATCCAAAAGATAAATTAAAAAAAAAAAAAAAACTTTTAAATAGTTCAGCAACCACTGTATGTGTGTAAATCAGAGAAAGAGAAAAAACAAATATGACAGATACTAACAACAGTTGAAACTAGACAATATAGCATTCATTGAACTAGTTCTTTAAAATTATTTAAATAATTTAAAATTATTTGTAAAACTTTTCTGAGTACTTGATTTTCAAAATAAAAATTTCAGAAAAAATTTTCCTCTCATCTTTATTTCCAAATAGTTCAGTTGGTCTTAAAACTCTATTTTAACCAGTCTTTTCTGGCATATAGTTCCTTTCTGAGGAACTCTCTAAAATAACAGCCACTCTCTTTTTTACTCAGAACTTCCCAAGAATGATTACTAAATACAGTGTGCTGCTCTGAATTGGGGTTGGTGACATATTTTGGTTCCCTGTTCAGCTGGAAGCTCAGTAACGTAAGGACTAGGTTTTACATGTCACAGCACAAAACCGACCCCAGTGAATTACTCATATTACACCACATTTGTGAACATTTCAGAACAATAAGAAACGGAAGCCAGAGAGTCTGCTTTAAATATTGACTTGTAGTTGCCACAGTACAGAGTTCATTCAGCTCTCACAGGGCGCGACCGTCTGTATACTAGTGCTCACCGTTATCGACTCATATTCTTCACAACTTTTATTTGTTTTTTTTTATTTAAAAGTAGTAGTTTAAGTCCTGACACTGACATGAATAATGGTACTTTGTCTTTAAGGAAGTCTGTAAGTTTATATCACTAGATTTTACCGTGGGCAAAGTCCTGAAGATTTAAAATGTATTTAAATTAATTTATAGATGGTTAAAAAAAAGGTATATACAGAGAACAAATGATCTGCTCTAAATCACATAGTCAACTCTCAATACTTTCTTTTTCCAACGATGCATACTTCGGTTCTACATGAAGAGTTGGACTGCACTTTACAGGAAACCTAAAATAAACTCTTAGGTCAAGAAACATGACTTGATTCATTAAAAAAATATTTTTGTGAGTATTGTGTACTTTTAGCTGCACTTTATCAACTTTCATAAAGACTTCCTTGCTTCGGTCTGCTTCTTGATGTAGGCCCATTTCATTTCTATAATAATAAATTATAAATCAGACTTTATTTGACTAATTTAAGGTTTTCATCCAAAAATTCAGTAATGGCTTCTTCATCCGCTGATTGAAGCAGTCTCTGAATTAGCTGATCCAAGCACTTCTCCCCACATAAAAATTCCTGGTTAAAAACAGTTACCATGAAAACTTGATTACTAGAAACAAAGGAGAAACACAACAAAGAATTAAGCATTTATGTATTTTGTTTCTTTAAAGTCATTATTTAATAGCAACAAAAGATTACTAATCTACAATGTAATGAACACAATTGCTAACTTGGGAGGATTCCCTAGTTAATATTGACTTTTTATGTAAAAAGTGAATCTAAAAAAGTAAATGGAATTATACTCTTTCTTAATAGTTTAAATTAGCATTTTAAAATTAGCCAATCTTCCAAATTAAAATTATTTAATCCAGAAGTGCTTTATAATAGTTGTGTTTTTTCTTAAATTAGGAACACATTGGCTTTAAAATCTAGACGTCCTGTGTAATTGAAAAATATTTATGCTGAAATATTTGGGGGACAAGTGTCTTGAGTCCTACAACTTGCTTTCTAATGGTTCAGCTGCCAACACAAGTGTATACATAGAGAGAAAGAGGAAGTGGAGGCGGAAGAGAAGGCAAGAATAGCAAAATATTAACAAAAGTTGCATCTAGGTCTAGGAACATATATATGAGCTAATCGCTAAACACGTGTGCTTGAACTGTCAAAATAAAACGTTGAAGGAAAAAACCCTCTTCTGTTAAACCTCCAATAATTCCACTGGGTAGAAACTGTTTCAGTGAAGACTTCCCAGCAGTCCTCCCTGAAGCTTCTCTAAGAAATGAGTAAAATAATGACTATGAGCACCTTGCTTGTGTTACAAAGTTTCTGTGTAACAGAGTTGTTGGGATTAGCGATTTAGCAGAGCCTCTTCTTTTGGAAACACTCAAAATCCAGACATTCACTTAACAGAAATATTTTAATACTGACATTTGGAACAGGGACCATTTTAAGTTTAGACGTAGGCATGAACTACTCTTATTTAGTCTTTCCTGAGTAGTCTTGAAGTTAAATTTCAGATTAAGTGTACACATTTATCTCTCAAATTAAACTGTAGGGGGAAAGATATGCCTTACCATCTTTGTAGTCTACAAAACACTAGCAAAGAGTAAAATGTCAATTAAACTTGGTGAAATTTTAAAACTGATTTATATACCATTTTGAACATAATTTGAAAATTGCTTATGAAATTAGTGTGCCCTGTAAGCTCAAATTATTATGATTATTGCCAGTGTGATTTCATCATCTGAAAATTATGTTAAAAGGGTCATTACTCTTATTGATAATCACATCACATTTAGAGTTCAATTGGATTAACCAGAGTGCTAGTGATACAAAGATGAAAGATGAGGGAGCTGTGGTTTCCAGCTTTCAGAAGCTTACAGTCTAGTGGGAGAGTTAGGTAGCACATAAGCATAATATAGGGTAAGAATTTTTTTTAAAAAGGAAGAACATTTTGAATTAGATCTTAAAAAGAGAATAGTATTTCTCCAAATCGAGACAAACAGAGCACTTAGTCAAAAGAATGAGCATGAAGAGAGGTATGGAAACAGGACAATGAACACCCAGGGCAAGAGTGAATTCCCAGTGTAATTGGAGTGCAGGACAGGAGATAGGCGGGTGTAAGTCATCTGCACTGGACATTCAGAAACAGAATACAAATACAAAATAATATATGACACGATGGCGGTGGTGTTTAGTCGCCAAGTCGCGTCCGACTCTTTTGTGACCCCATGGACTGTAGCTCTCCAGGCCCCTCCGTCCGTGGGATTTCTTAGGCAAGAATACTGGAGTGGATTGCCATTTCCTGACCCACAGAATCTTCCTGGCCCAGGGATCGAACCCACGTCTCTTGTATCTCCTGCTTGCATGGTGATTTACCACTGAGCCCCCAGGGAAGTGGCTCAGATATTACATGGTAATCTGAGCTTACTTTCTAGATAAGTTAAAAAAAAAAAAAATCTACAAGGGAATTATCTACAAGGGAATTCATTAATAAACATATTTCTGGCTGATTTCAGAGAACCCAAGGGCAGGAATGTACAAGGCTACTGCCACCACCCTGGGAATGAAGCTAAGGCTCAGGTATAAATTATGTGGGAATTCACACTGAGATAGGCCTGGGGGCTGGGACACTTTGCTGCAGTGCTGCCTGCTTGCGCACTGGACACACCTCTCCAACAAAATACAAAGAAAACTGAACGGGCCCAAAAATAACTTGCATGCATGGGCAGCTGGGGCAAATTCTGGACCCAAAAGATACAAAGAGACCAAAAAACCCAACTGTGATTTTTTGAGGGGCTTGGAGCAAAAAAAAAGCTTGGTACTGTACATAACACCGTAACACCACCTAAGGGGTGGGCAAAACACCTAAGCCACCCCTACCCTCACCCGACATAAAAAACAAGCTCATCCCTGCATCCAGAAGAGAGTACATAAGGGAACCTGTTATTTGTTCCTGCCCCAGCTGTGCTGTAGCAGGGGCCTCAATGAAGCCTTACCTGAATTCCGAGTCTGGCGTCTACTTAATTTCTATTGATTAGGGAAGGCCAAGAACCCTGATCACTAACAACACCATCAGGATTCTCTGTATCCCATTCTCCCAGTTTTGCTCCTTCCACTACATCAGCTGTGGGGCGTCCCTGCTGGTCCGGTGGTTAAGAATCCCCGTCCCAAAGCAGGGGCCACGGGTTCGATCCCCGGTGGGGGAACTAAGATCCCACACGCCCCAGGGCAACTCGGCCCATGTGTTCTGGAGCCCACAAGAAGATCTCGTGTGCTGCAACTAAGGCTTGACACAGCCAAATAAATAAATGCATATTAAAAAAAAAAAAAAGATCAATATAACAGCTCTCCAGTGTTCCCTCTCTGAAGACTGCTGGTCGCCATGGCTGGAAATACGGCTCCTAACCTCTTGTAAGCTTTATGTATTTCAGCTTCATCCACCAAGAGAGAAGGAGCATTTCTGTCCCTTAATTTAAAAATCCTGGGAAGAAGCTCATTGACTGGGGCTTGTCTGGATTTCCTTACCAAACAAACCAATTATCATCTTGGGCCAAGATCAAGATGGTGGAAGAACAGAGCCCTCCATGAGGAGCTCTGCACGGAGGAGACCCTCAGGCGCCCACTTTCTTTCCTCTCCACTCCTCCATTCAGCCCTACGGCAGCTGCCCTGGGGGTAAGGCCCTTATCCCTTTTCCTGCCTCATCTGTTGGGTTGGCCCAGAAGTTCGTTTGAGTTTTTCCATAAGATGTTACCGAAAAACCGAACAAACTTCTGGGACAACCAATACAACGCTTCAGTTCCTAAACCATTCAGTCTGACTAGTTTCCTTCTTCTGTCCTGTGTACAGATTTTCATTTGTTTTTTGAAAGATAGGACCAGTACCATTTTATTTAGTGTTGTAGGAAATTTTAGGTTACTTCTTAAAAACAAAAGCAAAGAAATTAAAAATTCCCGAAGTAACAAGGCAGGAGATAAGAATTCTATAATCCAAAAAATGCCGCGTGAGCTTTCAATCAGAGGGGGGAAGAGGTCACTTCAGTAGTTCATACAACAGAGGCAGAGAAACCACAGGGTTGAGATGGGTGTAGACCCTGGAGGTTAAGCTCTCCGCCCACCTGAGGCAACAGATCTTTCAGCCTTGAGAGGGACTATTTGTAAGTGAATAGGTCTAACGGAGCAGGGGCTCTGGGAGGGAAGATCCTGCCGAATTTTACATCAGCTGCTTCTGGCCTTCAGTCTGGCAGGCGGCCGAGGGTCGTGGATCCTCCTCCCTCTGTGGCCCTCTGAGCCCCTGCCGTCAGCAGAGCTGGAAACCACACACGTGTGCCACTCACTGCCCACACACCCCCACTCCGGGTCCGTGGCTGTTCGTGTGGCGAACGGCAGACACTCCTGCTCCTCCATTTCGCTACCTGGGAAGGCTGATACACAGGAAACACTCTGACTTTCCTGTTTCAAACATACAGCAGGACGTCTGTCAAAGTCCAAGGCTTCCCACTCCAGTATTCTGGCCTGGAGAATTCCATGCACTGTACAGTCCATGGCGTTGCAAAGAATCGGACACAAAGAAAGTCACAGTGACTTTCACAGTTCTCTTTATAGGGCTATAAATAAATCTAGTAGTGCTGTAAGTCGTCTGAAAGGTTTTCAGTGGTTCCCCAGGACTGTATGTGGGAGGGTATTAAATAAAACAGCTATCAATAATTAAAAGCGAATTAGTTCAATCAAGTTACAGGATCACCCTCCAGATTAAAGTGCCCTGATATTGATTGACTAATGTGGGAGCAAATGTGATCCTGAGAAGGAATCTTGCCGCCAGTCATCTTGCCTCTTAACTTCGATACCAGAATGAGCAGAGGGAGTTCTGTGTAGTAACTGCTCTCACCTCAAGACCTGCCCACCCCTTGGTCTGGGACATTCTCCCCTAGGAGAGATGTCGGGATTTGATGAGAGTCTGTCTCAACTGGGGCCAAAAAAAATGAGTAATATGGAAAGCATCCTAATATTGGGTTATCAACAATGAAACTACCTTAAGAGTCTGAGTAGTTCAGTCACTAAGTCATGGACGTAGCGACCCCATGGACTGTAGCCCACCAGGCTCCTCTGTCCATGGGATTCTCCAGGCAAGAATACTGGAGTGGGTTGCCGTTCCCTTCTCCACAGATTTTAATGTTTTACTGCAACAATTTTTTTTTTCATATCATTTAAGTTGGTTAGTGATTAGCAGAGCATACCAATATGACTGTCCTTGTTCTTTCTAAGGCTGGCATGCTAGTTTAGTTAGTAATAACATTAGTATTTAGGCCAAGGTCATATATTTTATAACTATAAAAACCAGTTAACCTCTGTTTCGTGACTGAGTACACTGCTGAGCACCTATGTGCCCTTCTAAAAAATATTCCTGGTCACAAAAATGTAGCTGTCTCATGGTAAACCATCACCACTATAAGAAAAACAACTGAAAAATTATGTTGTAACTAGAACAATATGGCCAAACATGTTTGGGTATTACTACTGTGTGTTTCCTGAGGAAAGGGAAGTTGGTAAATATTTTCTCCTTTTCAACAGGCTGTGATGTTCCTATGCAAGACAGCTTGAAATTGCTGGGAAGACAGAGGAAGTGGCATAAGAAACACAGAAATTTCTAAATATGTTAAAACCATAGATATTTCTTCTGTAAAATCAGGACTTTAATTCTGTGTATAAAATGAGACAGAATCAAGTGAAAGAAACCCGAGGTATCACACCATAGCATGGACAAGGATCAAAACCTTCTACCTCCTGCCTTTTCCACACAGTCCTTTATGGGAACTTATTTTCCCCTTCAATGGAAGAAAAAAACATTTCTTTTTTCTGTGCTTTGTCATTAATGGATTACTGTCAATGATTCAGGCGACATGGGATTTAGTTAGGTTAAAGTTCAAACCAAATTGACAGGGTCTTTTCCATGAAGGCATCATTGTAACACCTGAATCTATCAATACACATCATGGTAGGCAGAATTCTAAGACTCCCCTTGGCGTCTACACCTTGCAAAACCCCCTTCCTTAAGAGCAGGCATAAGCTGCAGTGATGATCACTCCAGTGATCAGATGACTAATTAGTGATGCTTTTCCAGGTGGGGCTGACCTAAACAGGCGATCGCTTAAAAAGGCCATTTCTGCAAGAGTCTCAGTGAGAGAAGGCCCATGGGGGGACTAGACAGCATACAACTGTGGGCGGCCTTTGGGAGCTGAGAGCAGTACACAGCTGATGACCAGCAAGAAGATGGGGCTTCAATCCTACAACTCAAGGAAATAGAATTCTGCCAGCAACCACATGAACTCGGAAGAGGACTCCAAGCTCTAGAAAGGCATGCCGGCTGGCCAGCACCTTGATTTCAGCTTTGTGAGACCTAGAGCAGAGAACTCAGCTCTGTCATACCTGGATTCCTGACATACAGTAACTGAGATGATAAACAGGCATTCTTTTAAGGCAATAAATTTGCAGTTACTTGTTATACAGCAACAGAAAACTGATAGACGTATACTGAAAATCCATTAATACACTGTGATTGGATAACAGAATTTTGAATTTAAAAGACAGCTTTTTCATATTGGCATAAAGAGTGTATTTCTCATCAGCAAACTAAGAAAAATGTTTGCAGATTTGGGGTACTGACACAAACTATCTCAGTTACATGGTAATATTTCAAAGATTACTCTAGAATTTGACTGTACTTCCTTCAAAAATCAAAAGCATATGAAACATACTCAGCGATATTACCTTAATATTACGAACTTCATACGCTATCCTGTGGTCAGTGACTCTATCCTGGGTGAAATTATATGTCCGGATTCTCTCTGACTGGGCTCTTGTTCCCACCTGTGCCATAACAAAAAGCAATTCATATTTTAACTTTATCATTATCTTTATCACAATGGAAAAAGTGCTTGCAAATTACTTTTCTACTTTAACAGTTTAATTATTTTCTAAATTCAAAGACACAAAGTGACCAGGAAAAAGAATGGGCAGAACTTACTGTTGAAGACTATAGATTTGTAAAGCTTAGTTATGGGATAAGAATCAATGTTTCTTTGGTACCTCAAACTCCAAATATTTAAAACCAAATTATCTTTCTGTATCAGTCAGTTCTTCCTTATGGTTTCTGTAAATGATCCCACAATGTTCCTTGTGATCTCAGTAGGGAACTTGACATCCTACACTCTTTGACAAGCATTTCATGGGGGCTGACTATCTGCCAGGCTTTGATACAGACACTGAAAGGACCTTCAACTCATCTCATTCTCTAAGTCCCCAGTTCCAATGGTCTCAAGGGTCTTTTATTATATCCTGCCCTCACCACTTTTATTATCATTCAAGGGCTCATTACTTTCACTCTACTCCTGTAAAAATCTCCTGATTAACCTCCCACTTCTCTGTTTCCAGTGAGCTGTCCTGCTTAGTTTTCTTGAAGCACAGTGGTTTTTTTTTTTTTTTTTTTTTGGTCAGTTTCCTTTTTTGGGTCCTTGACTACTAAGCACTCACAACTCAGCATTCAATGTGCTTCATAATGTGGCCAACTTTCCCAATGTTATTTCTGAAAATTTGTGAACCTCAAAGATACCACTTACTGTGCCATTTCATTATTATGTGCAAGTCTGTTAACTCGGCTAAGACATCACCTCGAGGGATGTGCTTCCTGGCACTCTCGTACTGTCTCGACTTTTCTGGTCCCAACATGAAAAATAAGTTATCTTCCTCCTTCGAAACCCCATGCGCTTGGAATCTTCCTCGTGGCACACCAGTCCACGTTATGCTGTGGTTGTTCGTAGTCCAGGCTGCTCACCTGCCCTCCCTCCCTCACATACAAGGCACACAATACCCTGTCTCACTCACTTCCACTTTTAATTTGACAATTTATTGTATTACTTATTATTTATTGAAGCATAGTTGCTGTACAATAGAAGTTACAAGTATATCACTTTCACTTTTTAAGATTAAAAAAAAAAGACATTCCTACAACTTACAAAGCAAACAATATGAAACTAAACAAGATCTTAAGTATGGCTGAGCATCTGGGAAGTTGTTGAAAGATTCCAAAGCCTAACACATAAGAAACACTAAATTATGGGTAATATATTTTTAAAACATTCCCCAGGCCTTCCATTCTGCAACCAGCCAGATCTGGAAGCCACTGTCCCCAAATACCATATTAGTGCCTTGGATCACACCCAGATGAGTTACATCAGAATCTCAGCATCCACAAAGCTCTGCAGGTGCCAAGTGGAGCCAGGGCTCAGAATTTGGCAGAGTGCCTTCCATAGAAAAGCTCCTGTATATACTGGCAGAAGAAAAATGCCTAAGCATGAGAGACACCTACTAAAAAACTTCACACAGATGGACAAAGGGAGGCAAGAAGGTCTCTTCTGGCCTTTCAAACCAAACTACTGAAGAGGATACAACCCCCTAAATCTGCAAAGGCTGATCACCAATACTTACTTCGAAAACTACTGTGTGATGTCAAATGGTGAGTAAAACCCAATGTCTGGGACTTCCCTGGCTAAGGCTTCCCTTCCCTTAGTCAGGTGGCTAAGACCCTGTGCTCTCAACTCAGGGGGCTCAGGTTTGATCCTCGGTCAGGGAACTAGTTCCCACATGCCACAACTAAGAACCAGTGCAGCCAAATAAATAAATATATATTTTTTAAAAACCCAATGTCTTTCATTAAATGTGGCAGAGCTGATAGTGTTTAAGATTGATATATTATTTATCCTGTCACTTTTACTATCTGCAAGTTAGTAAGGGAAATAAGAAGGGCAAAAGTGTGAAAGACTAGGACATCTACGTGAAAAGAATAATTGATGTTTCAGTTCAGTTCAGTTCAGTCACTCAGTCGTGTCCGACTCTTTTGCAACCCCATGAATCGCAGCACACCAGGCCTCCCTGTCCATCATCAACTCCCAGAGTTTACTCAAACTCATGTCCATGGAGTTGGTGATGCCATCCAGCTATCTCATCCTGTCGTCCCCTTCTCCTCCTGCCCCCAATCCCTCCCAGCATCAGGGTCTTTTCCAATGAGTTAACCCTTCGCATGAGGTGTTTAGTTTTATACAATCTCATTATCCTAACAGGCCACAAAATCTCCCATATTTACTGAAGTATAACTACCTGCAAATAACACACAGTTATTTCTGGGTTCCACTGTCTCTTCCAGTTTCTTTCAAAGATAAACTTTACTTTTTCAGAAGTTAAAATCATACAACACTTGGTTTACTTAAAACAATGACATTTATTCATTTTGCTTAAAACTTATCTATGTATATATTTATAAAAATAATAATATAAATGTAGATAGTACAAAATTTTAAAAGTAGAAGAGAGTATAAACAAAAAATAAATATCTTTTCTATTCTTTGTTCCCAGACTACATCAGAAGCCATCACTATTACCAGTTTTTTGCATGTCATATATTTTTTATTTCACATAAAATTATAATAAAAGCATAGGTTTTTAAATTAAAAACCTGAAAAATCTCTTAATTTCTAAAGAATTGTCTTTTACACTGATTTCCTCTTAAAGGAACTATGATATAAACAGAACACAACTGGGAAATAATTTTTAGTTTATACGTATCTCTTTTCCTTATTTGCAAACTGGCATGTCTGAGTTTGGCCATAACCAACCAGTATTAAATTATTTCTATTTACAAATGAACATGTTTTCCAGTGCTCCAAGGTACTTCTGTCAGATTAAGAATATTTACTCCATTTCCCTACACAAGATGGTTTTCTGTACAAAGCCATTGAGTTATTTCACTCAATAAATCTTACCTGCAGTTTTCTCACACTTCGTTGCTGACACTTGTCTTTCTCAATAATCTGCTGGTAGAGTCTAGCTCTCAACACACGCAGAGCTGTTTCTTTGTTTTTTATCTGTGATCGTTCTTGCTGGCATTCCACCACAAGTCCTGGAAAAAAACAGGGGTCAGAGGTTAACAGGGTGTGTGCACATGCTCAGTCACTCAGTCGTGTCTGATTCTTTCTGTGACCCCATGGACTGCAGCCCGCCCAGCTCCTCTGTCCATGGGGTTTCCCAGGCAAGGATGCTGGAGCAGGCTGCCACTTCCTGACTCAGGGATTAAACAGGTGTCTCCTGCACTGTAGGTAGATTCTTTACCACTGAGCCACCTGGGAAACCCCGAAGTGTCTATTACATCACAATAAAACTGATAAAGACGACAGAACCGAGGAACGTTTTAAAGGGGGAAAGGTTAATCAGGAAAAGAATGAAAAACATTTCAGATGAAGTACACACCAGAAACTATACATGAGTTATGATGGTAATTGCTGTAGATGGCTCTTTAGATTCTGATATCTAAATAAGGTGATTCAGCTTATAATACAAATACACATTTACTGAAAAAAAATCTGCATTTATATAGACCCAGGTGGTTCTAACAAAATGTGGTCCACTGGAGGAGGGAATGGCAACACTCCAGTATTCTTGACTCAAGAACCTCACCAACAGTAAGAAAAGGCAAAAGGATATGACACCGGAAGATGAGTCCCCCAGGTCAGAAGGTGTCCAGTATGCTACTAGGGGAGAGCAGAGGGCAATTACTAATAAGCTCCAGAATGAATGAAAAGACTGAACCAAAGGGGAAATGATGCTCAGTTGTGAATGTGTCTGGTGCTGAAAGTAAAGTCTGATGCTGTAAAGAACAATATTGCATAGGAACCTGGAATCTTAGGTCCATGAATTAAGGTAAATTGGACATGGCCAAGCAGGAGATGGCAAGAGTGAATGTCTACATCTTAAGACTCAGTGAATTAAAATGGACGGGAATGGGCAAATTTAATTCAGATGACCATTATATCTACTACTGTGGCAAGAATCCCTTAGAAGAAATGGAGCTGCCCTCATAGTCAGCAAAACAGTCTGAAATGCAGTACTTGGGTGTAATCTTAAAATGACAGAATGGTTTTGGTTGGTTTCCAAGGCAAATCATTCAACATCACAGTAATCCAAGCCTATACCCCAACCCCTAATGCCGAAGAAGCTAAAGTTGAACGGTTCTGTGAAGACCAACAAGACTTTATAGAACAACACCAAAAAAGTCTTTTTTATCATAGGGGACTGGAATGCAAAGTAGGCAGTCAAGAGATACCCAGAATATAGAAAATTTGGCCTTGGAGGAGTACAAAATGAAGCAGGATCAACGCTAACAGAGTTTTGTCAAGAGAACACATTGGTCATAACAAACACCCTCTTCCAAAACACAAGAGACAACTCTACACAAGGACATCACCAGATGGTCAATACCGAAATCAGATCGATTATATTCTTTGCAGCTGAAGATGGAGAAGCTCTATACAGTCAGCAAAAACAAGGACTGGAGCTGACTATGGCTCAGATCATGAGATCCTTATTGCCAAATACAGACTTAAATTGAAGAAAGTAGAGAAAACCACTAGGCCATTCAGATACGACCTAAATCAAATCCCTTCTGATTATGCATGGAGGTGACCAATCCATTCAAGGGATTAGATCTGGCAGACAGAGTGCCTGAAAAACCATGGAAGGAGGTTCATAACATTCGGCAGGAGGTGGTAATCAAAACTATCCCAAAGAAAAAGAAATACAAGAAAGCAAAGTAGTTGGCTGAGGAGGCTTTACAAATAGCTGAGAAAAGAACAGAAGTGAAAAGCAAGGGAGGAAGGCAAAGATTCACCCAACTGAATGCAGAGTTCCAGAGAATACCAAGGAGAGATAAAAGCCTTTTTAAGTGAACAATGCAAAGAAATACAGGAAAACAATAGAATGGGAAACACTAGAGAACTCTTCAAGAAAACTGGAGATATCAAGGGAAGCTTTCATGCAAGGATCATCACAATAAAGGACAGAAAAGGTGGCCCTAAAAGCAGCAGAAGAGATTAGAAAGAAGCGGCAAAAATACACAGAACTATATAAATAAGGTTTTAATGACCTGGAAAACCATGATGCCATGGGCACTCACCTAGAACCAGACATCCTGGAGTGTGAAGACAATTGAGCCTCAGGAAACATTACTATGAACAATGCTAGTGGAAGAGATGGAATTCCAGCTGAACTAGTTCAAATCCTAAAAGATGATGCTGTTAAAGTGCTGCACTCAATATGCCAGCAAATTTGGAAAACTCAGCAGTGGCCACAGGACTGGAAAAGGTCAGTTTTCATTCTAATCCCAAAGATGGGCAGTGCCAAAGAATGTTCAAACTACCGGACAACTGTGCTCATTTCACATGCGAGCAAGGTAATACGCAAAATCTTTCAAGCTAGGCTTTAATAGTACATGAACTGAGAACTTCTGGATGTACAAGCTGGATTTAGGAAAGGCAGAGGAACTAGAGATCAAATTGCCAACATTCCTTGGATTATAGGAAAAGTAAGGCAATTCCAGGAAAACATCTACTTCTGCTTCACTGACTATAGTAAAGCCTTTGACTGTGTGGATCACAAGAAACTGTAGAAAATTCTTCAAGAGATGAGAATACTATACCACCTTACCTCTCTTCTGAGAAACCTGTATGCAGGTCAAGAAGCAACAGTTAGAACCAGACACAGAACAACAGACTGGTTCGAAATTGAGAAAGGAGTACATCAAGGCTGTATGTTGTCACCCTGCTTATTTAACTTCTATGTGGAGTGCATCATGTGAAATGTTGGACTGGATAAATCACAAGCTGGAATCAAGATTGCTGGGAGAAATATCAACAACTTCAAATATGCAGATGACACCACCCTTATGGCAGAAAGTGAAGAGGAACTAAAGAACCTCTTGATGAGGGTAAAAGAGGAGAGTGAAAAAGCTGGGTTAAAATTCAACATTCAAAAGATTAAGATCATGGCATCCGACCCCATCATTTCATAGCAAATAGAAGGGGAAAAATTGGAAACAGTGACAGACTTTATTTCCTTGGGCTTCAAAATCACTGCACAGTGACTGCAGCCATGAAATTAAAAGACTCATGCTCCTTGGAAGGAAAGCTATGACAAACCTAGACAGTGTATTAAAAAGCAGAGATATCACTTTGCCAACCAAGGTCCATAGAGTCAAAAATTATGGTTTTTCTAGTACAGATGTACAGATGTGAGAGTTGGACAAAAAAGACTGAGCACCAAAGAATTGATGCTTTTGAATTGGGGTGTTGAAAAAGACTCTTTGAGAGTCTCCTGGACTGCAAGAAGATCAAACCAGTCCATCCTAAAGGAAATCAGTCCTGAATATTAATTGGAAGGACTATTGTTGAAGCTGAAGCTCCAGTACTTTGGCCACGTGATGGGAAAAGCTGACTCACTGGAAAAGATCCTGATGCTGAGAAAGATTGAAGGCAGGAGGAGAAGGGGAAGACAGAAGATGAGATGGTTGGATGGTATCACCGACACAACGGACATGAGTTTGAGCAAACTCTGGGAGATAGTGAAGGACAGGGAAGCCAGGCGGGCTGCAGTCCATGGTGATGTAGAGTCGGACATGACTTAGTGACTAAACAACAACAAAATGCAGTTGAAACCCATGTTGTTTAAGGGTCAATTGTATAGTCCACATAGGGAAGAATATACCTAATGTAAAAGAATATATATGTACCACGCAGCTTAAAAAGAATATTGCTGAAAGTCACTCAGTTGTGTCCGACTCTGCGACCCCATGGACTATACAGTCCATGGAATTCTCCAGGCCAGAATACTGGAGTGACTAGCCTTTCCCTTCTCCAGGGGATCTTCCCAACCCACGGACTGAACCTAGGTCTCCCACACTGTAGTCGGATTCTTTACCAGCTGAGCCACAAAGAATATTTCTAAATGCCCTTTAAACCTCCCATTTGCCCCCTTCCAAACCAGAAGCTATGTCATTCCTCCCAGAAGTAACTACTACCTAAAATTTTACAATAACTGTTTCCTTGTATTTCTTTATATTTTAACATAAATGTATAGATCCTTAAGACTTTTATGAAGCACTATAATGAGGAATCCCAGAAACTGGGGTTGACCGTTTGGGGACTAGAAACAGAAAGTCTACATAACAACTACAATTTCAAGTCCCCTCCCTCAATCTGTAGGAGGCAGGAGGTACAGTCTTTAGAGAATGAAATAAGGAAAGCTCCAGACTTGAGTCTTCAAAGGTACAAAGGAAGGCAAGTGTGAGGCACAAGACTGAAAAAGAGAATTAAGAAAAAGTTTGCTTATTGAATGAGGAGACCTTGACTTTACCGTCTTGTGTCCTGGGCGAGCCTTCTTAGGAGAAAACTACCCAAGAGAAAAAGTTCTACAAATGCTGACATTTCAGGGGCCCTAAAAAAAAGCTGATTCACTCCCCGACCTTTGAAACTTATTACTGGATAAGTGGCGCCCATGCGCTGAGAGCTTTTAGAACCTCACTCTTAAATGTATACACACAGCCAAGGAGGTGCTTTGTCCAAACAGAAGGGAATATGAACACACCGGGGACTTTGAACCCATGACCCAGTGTCACCGTTTTTTTTTTTTTTTTAGAAAATCTTTTATGTATTTATTTACTTAGGTATTTATCTGGCAGCTCTGGGTCTTACTTGCAGCGAGGGGGATCTTTCATCATGGCATGCAATATCTCTTTAGTTGTGACATGTGGGATCTAGTTCCCGGACTAGGGATTGAACTCGGGCCCTCTGCAATGGGAGTGTGGAGTCTTAGCCACTGGACTACCAGGGAAGTCCCTCCAGTGTCATCTTTAAAGAGTTTGTGCAAGAAGACAGGCACTAACATAAAACTCTTTCTAAATGCCGATCAGTTTTATAACATGTGGAAAAAAGAGTTAAAAGTACAAAGGCAAAAGGACCAGCTTACCTGTGGGGATGTGGACAAGTCTGACAGCACTATCAGTTGTATTAACATGCTGCCCTCCTGCTCCTTTGGCTCGAAATGTGTCTATTCGCAAGTCCTTAGGCTCTACTTTCACATCTACCTAGAACCAAAAGTATAGCATGAGTAAATCCCGTACTCGACAAATACTTAAATATTACATTGATCCCAAGGTCTCTCAAATAAACTGTATTGTTTTAAATCACAGCCATTTGACTAAGAGGTGAAATAACTTATAACAAAGAAAGAACCATAAACACCCTATTCCAACAGATGCTATTTTAAACACCGATTTATGAGACCACTGAGTTATGTAATCTTTCAAAAGTTTTATGATCTATCATCCCACAAAGCTATCTTAGATACAAAATATATTTTTTTAAGAAGGCAGAACATGAATAGACATTTTTCTAAAGAAGACACTCAAGTGGCCAACAGGCACATGAAAAGATGCTCCCATCATTAATCATCAGAGAAATGCAAATCAGAACCACAGTGAGGTATCACCTTGTATCTGTCAGAATGGCTATCATCAGAAAGAATGGCTATCATTCAATGTCAGGGAGGATATGGAAAAAGGGAAACCCTTGTACACTGTTGGTGGGAATGTAAATTGGTGCATCACTGTGGAAAGTAACATGGAGGTTTCTCAAAAAACTAAAAATAGAACTAACATATCCAGCAATTCCACTCCTGGGTATGTATCTGAAAATAAAAACCTAAACTCAAAGAGATATATTCACCCCAATGTTCACAGCAGTATTATTTATAACAGCCAAGATATGCAAGCAATGTAAGTATCCATGAATGAATAAAGATGTGACACACACACACACACACACACACACACACTGGAATATTGCTCAGCCAGAAAAAATGAAATTTTGCGATTTGCAATAACATAAATGAACTTGGAGGGTACTGTGCTTAGTGAAATAAGTTGAACAGAGAAAGACAAATATGTATAGCATCACTTATATAGGGAGTTTAAAAATTAAAACACACTACTGAATATAACAAAAAAAGAAATGGACTCAAACTAGTGGTTACCAGTGAGGAAAGCAAAAGGGGGAGGAGAAGAATAGACGGATGTAGGGGAGTAAGAAGTACAGACTATTATGTATAACATAAATGAACTATAAGAATATATTGTACAGCACAAGGAAGAAAGCCAATATTTTATGATAACTATAAATGGCGAATAACCTTTCAAAATAGTGAATCACTGTGTTGTACACCTGAAACATAATATTGTAAATCAACTATACCTCAATTTTTTCAAAAAGAAAAATAATAGTGATTATATCTTATTGAATTTAAAAAATAAATCTGTAAGTCTATAATGAAGTCACAAACATACAAAATTCGATATATGAGTTTATAATGAGGTAAAATAAAAATGGAAAGAGAAGAAAGGAGGAGAGAAGGTAGTGGGGAGGAAAGTTCTTCACAGTAAAGAATGCCAATTAATACATGCAGAAGGAATGATGAAATTAGAAAATCATCATTTTGAAACACCAAACTAAATAACTAATTCAGGCAAAGATCACTAATGGATGTTAAAGACCATGGAAGACAAGTTGTTGGGAATAGGATATATTACTTATACTACTATATTATTATATTACTTAGATTATCCCCTTATTATAAAGAGAGAAATACACTTTCACAATCAGGATTTTTTTTTGTGGTCACCAACTTCACTAAATGCTCAAAGTGATCCTCACTAAAAGTGGGGTAATCTGATATTCTGACTTGTGATGAGACACAACATGAATATAACTACACCTGCGAAGTATTCTTGCTCTAAATGTATAACCTGAATAGAATGGAATATTTAAATACAACTTTTCATAGAATGCAGGAGATAAAGGAACAAGTTAAAGAGTTATAAGGAAACAGATGAATCCAGAATGTGGAACATTCTACAAGACAAAAGGTCTAAAAAAAGAAAATAAAAGACAAAAGGTCTAGACTCTTCAAAATGTCAATGTCATTTAAAAAAAAAAAAAGGTTGGAAGACTGTTCCAGGCATTAAGAGTTATAACAACAAACTGCAATAGGTGAAACTTGATAGCATCCTCGTTTAAGAAAATAGCTATAAAGATACTTTTTGATGACTGAGGAAACTATTAACTGGACTAAGTATTAATTGTGATATTGTGATTTACGATAAGAAATATATATTGTTCAGTTCTCAGCAGAGAGCTCCTAAAACCCTTGGGTATTTTCCTAAGTGGTAAGAGTGACAAAGGTGTCTGTGTGAGTCATAACAAGCCCCTCTGAACCACATTTGACTTTATGTTAATAAGGTGATATTTGGAAAACCATGGATAACCACAGCATGCGGACTGATGGCCAGCTCCACCCCAATCTCCAGGGAGGGGAGAGGGGTTGGAGGTTGAATCAATCCCCAAAGTCTATTGATTTACCCAACCATGTCTATGTATGGAAGACTCCATAAAAGTCCCCCAAGCACAGGGTTCAGAGTTGCCAGGCTGATGAACATGTGAAACTGCAGGCAGGGAGGCGAGCCTGGAAGGGCGTGGAAGCCCTACACCTCTTTGAGTTCTCGGAGTTTCTTCCACCTGGCCCTTCCTGAGTTATACTTTTTGTAATAAGGCAGTAGTCTAGTAAGTATGAGCTTCCTGTGTGGCTCAGTGGTAAAGAATCCGCCCGCCAGTGCAGGAGACTAGAGGTCTGTCCCTGGGTTGGGACGATCCCCTGGAGAAAGGCATGGCAACCCACACCAGTACTCTTGCTGGAGAATTCCACGGACAGAGGTCCGTGGGGTCACAGAGAGCCTGCACGCGCTAGTAAGGACACTGTTTTCCTGTGTTCTTTGAGCCCCTTTAGTAAATGACTGAGACTAAGGAGGGGGCACGGGGCCCTCCGGACGCAGGAACCCAGGAGACAGCCTGCTTTCACGCCTGGCTCTGACGTGGGGGGCTGCCGTGCGGCGGGCTGAGTGCAGCTTGTGGAAGCTGAGCCACTGGCCCAGGGAGCCGGTGTCAGACGTGAGCTGAACTGTGGGCCGGTCACTTGCTGTCCGCAGAGAATGGAGGGGCTGCTTCGTGGAGGGAAAGAAGTTCACAGGTTTGGGGTGCAGAAGCATTCGGTAAGTAGACAGAACGCATAGGAGCTTTGCGTGGACAGTGACACTCCGGTGGACCTTCCCGGATAACGGTACGGGGTTCCTGCAGGGGGTACCTCATCTGCGTGGGGGAGGACGATCACCGACATCGTTCCCGTGTGAATCCGCTGCATCCGGGATGACAGGCCCACCTCCGGGATTCGCTGAACCCGGTGAATCCCACCTTCGTACTTCAAGTGCTTGTAGACGTTATCACCGGAAATTCGGGCCGCTGCGTGATGTAGCCCACCTATGAAAAAAAAGTTCCAGCATAATAATAAATTCTACTTTGAAAGGCATCAGGACCTTAAATGGCCTTCATGAAAGGCCCCTGTGAGCACAGAGCCTGAGATGAGAACATAAAGTAGGTCCAAAAAGACGTTTTCCCAACATAAGTCTATTAATATGTAATAGGAAACATACCAAAAAATTGTTTATGGTTATCTCTGGAGAACATAACAACAGAATGTTTTTCATCTTAAGTTTTTTTGTTGCAAAGTTTTATGATGAACAAATTTCACTTTTATAAAAATAGCATTAGAAAAAAAGAATACTGGGACATTTTCTGCATTGAAGCTATGCGATTTTAGGCTAATTTAGTGCCATATATGAGTGCACAATAACACAGCAATTTGATAATGAATAATTCTGTAGGTCCTCCCAAGCTTTCAAGGATCTATTGAAATTTAATTCTTGCTTGTCTGTGAAGAGGGAAAATAAGCACAATGCCTAAGCTAGCTTCTTATTGAACATATTGTTTAAAAAAATCTTTTCATTGTAAAATAATACACAGATGTAGAAAACCACATGAATCAAATGCATGGTTCAAGATTAAGAAAAAGAACTTTATCAGGCACCTGCAAAGCCCTCCCATAGATCTGCCTTTCCTACAATCCCCTCCCTTTCTCAGGTAACCAGTATTTTTTATTCCCTTCTCTACTATAATTTTATTACCTAATGTGCTGCCCTAAGCACTACAGTGTAGTCTTGTCCATTTAAAAAAGTTGATACGTTTTTCAAACCTCAGTCTATAAGATCATCAACCATCTCAAGTTATCCATTGAGGAACCAGGGCTGTTGACATATAGAAATTTCCCACAGCTTGGTTTTGCTGACTGCATACTCTTGGCATGCTTCAATCTCTTTTCTGCCCTCTGTACTGGCTGCTACTGGGCAGCTGGATCCAGAAACTAGATTGAACTCTTTGGCAAGACAACAGGAGACAGACAATGTCTGGTTGTCTCTTATGTTTTTATCAAACAATGTTTGATGCTTCATGTACCACAGAGGTTGTAGAAGGGTGACAGTCCAATTCTATGGGCTTCCCTTGTGGCTCAGCTGGTCAAGAATCCACCTGCAATGCAGGAGACCTGGGTTGGAAAGATCCCCTGGAGAAGGGAAAAGCTACCCACTCCAGTATTCTGGCCTGGAGAATTCCAGGGACTGTATAGTCCATAGGGTCACAAAGAGTTGGACATGACTAAGTGACGTTAAAAACAGACAAAACCTAGATTCAGCCATTTCTCCAAGAAGCCCTGGTTCCTTTCGAAGGAAATTAATATTTCAATGTTTTCAATATTGGGGAACTAGGGATATTCACTAATACTGGGTTGGTCATTGTTTCCAGACCTTTTCAGTGGACAGAGATAGGAAATACCTCATGAGTTTACAGAGATGTTGAGAAACAATTCCTTATCAGTTTCTTGCATTTCTGCACATTTTGTAAACAAGGAACTGCCTGCCCTTTTGTTCCAGAATATCTTTTTAAGGGTATTTGTTTAGTGAACAGCTTTGGAGATAATGTCTCCCTCTAAAGCAAAGGACAAGTGCCTGCCAATGTAGGAGACACGGATCCCATCCCTGGTCGGGGAAGATCTCGCAGGCTGCGGAGCAGCTAAGCCCGTGCGCCACAGCTGCGGAGCCTGTGCTCTCGAGCCGGGAGCCACAGCTGCTGAGCCCACACGCCCGCGAGCCCGTCCGTGCTCGGCAACAAGAGAAGCCACCGCAACTGGAGAAAAAGCCCACAGAGCCCACCCAGCTCAGCCAAGAAAAAGATTCCACCTTCCGATGCAGGGGACACGGGTTTGATCTCTGATCAGGGAACTAAGATCCTACACGCTGCAGGGCAACTAAGCCTGTGTGCACGGCAATGGAGACTCAGCAAAATAAAATAAAATAGAGAACCCCAAGCTCAGGATTCCTCTTCTGTTTTGAAACCCACCATGTGGGTAGGTGTCATCTGACCTTCCAGTTGCCTTTTGGGACGTGGAGCTCCTGAAACCAGCACAAAAATGCTGATATTCTGGTTACTGCTACTACCATGAGTCATAAACCATCCTTTGTCTCTGACCCATGAAACTGTGACTTGCTAAATTCCTGTCTTGCAAGTAGGGTAAAATCTCAGACAACTTGTTCTGATAACTGATACTTCTAATATAAATGAAAGATCACAATGTCTTCTCTAGTACTCCTATATCACTTGCTTTCCATACTGAGAATCTTGGTTCCCAAAGACAGAGAGGATACCAGAATTAGAGTATCTCAAAATTACTCTTCTATTTTATCCCATATTTCATAAACAGCAGTCTCAGAATAACACTACTAGTTCTGCCACCAATACAATTACTAAAAACATGATAAAACTTTTTTACATGTGCTCTTCCCGTTCTCCTTCCCATTTTGCAAATGACTGTACTCTATACTGTCAGATCTAACAGTCCTTATATACTGTACTTTTTCCTCTTAGTCCTCAATTAGACCTAGTTCTATAGATAATCACGTATTTAATACTCTCCGTTAGGGAAAGTGAAAGTGTTAGCTGCTCAGTTGTATCTGACTCTGCAGCTCCATGGACTGCAGTCTGCCAGGCTCCTCTGTCCATGGGATTCTCCCGGCAAGAAAACTGAAATGAGTTGCCATTTTCTACTCCAGGAGATCTTCCCAACCCAGGGATAGAACTCAGGTTTCTGCACTGCAGGCAGATTCTTTACTATCTAAGCCACCAGGAAAGCCTGGGAGAAAGACTAGCAGTATAAATTTCTGGCATGTACCGACTTTCTCAAGAGGATCCAGTCTTGCCTTTATTCAAGGGGTTTTAGGTCTACAAACTGGCTCAAGTCTGGGAACTGACTAAGGGGCCATGACTTCTGTTTTTATGACACAGGTTAGACTTTTGTTCACTTGACCTAGAACTTTTCTGCTTATACAGGTCAAATAAGAATGTAGTAGGCTTCCATTCTTTACTCCCAGGGACACATGTTAACCAGCCAATGCCCTGTCTGCGTAAGTCAGCCTATTCCTATTGCTCCTTTTACTCCACTGTCCATTATGGTAACCACGCCCATATTGCTTTTGGCCGCTGAGCGCCAACACTGCTACCTTGAGATCCAATTGCTCCAACTGCCCTTAGGTTTCCCAATTCATCTACTAGAGTTCCCACTGTAGGGTCTTGGCTGCAGATAAAAACTATCAGACAGCTCTTTAGTGATGCCAGGGCTCCCCTCATAAACTTATTTCTCAACAGCTGTGGTGAAAAGTATTATCTCTGGACACATTAAATTAACCACCACGTTGTTTTTATTTATTTAGTTATTTTTTAATGCCTTGATGTGTGGCCTGCAGTATCTTAGTTCACCAACCAGAGATTGAACCCATTCCCCTGGCACTGGGAGCACAGCCTCTTAACCACTGGACTGCCAGGGAAGTCCCAACCACCACATCACTTTAATGACCTCACCCTGAATTCAGCTGGTGAGCAGAAAATAACAAAACATAATTACAAACATTAATCGGTTGGGAGGGAAGAGAGAATATAATAAATTTCACTTGTTGTTGTTCAGTCACCAAGTCACGTCCAACTCTTTTGCGACCCCATGGACTGTAGCCTGCCAGGCTCCTCTGTCCATGGTGGGACTTCCCAGGCAAGAATACTGGAGTGGGGTGCCATTTCCTTCTCCAGGGGATCTTCCCGACCCAGGGATTGAACCCGAGTCTCCTGCATTGGTAAGTGGATTCTTTACCACTGAGCCACTCAGGGAAGTCCCCCTTTAATTTGAAAGACATTTCTCAAGTCCCTAGAAATCAGGAATATAGAATGACAGTGATAGACCTACACTACATGTCAAGAGCCATCACCCTGCACTGCTTCTACAAAGAGTAATCTTGTAATCATGTAGTATTAACTACTTATGTAATGGTTGAGGATTTTCCCTATCTGTCCCAAGATCACAAAACTAAAAGACTTGAAGTCATTTGATATATGAATTTTTACATTTAAGTGTGTTTTCCCCCAATCTTAGCTTCTAGTGCTATGTGAATCTCTGTGAGTTCCCTATATTTCAATTAAACATTAAGTATGTACACATACATATATATATATATTCTGTGCTAAGTCTCTTCAGTAGTGTCCAACTCTTTGCGACCCTATGGATGGCAGCCAACCAGGCTCCCCTGTCCACGGGATTCTCCTGGCAAGAATACTGGAGTGGGTTGCCATGCTCTCCTCCAGGGGATCTTCCTGACCCAGGGATCAAGCCTGAATCTCTAAAGTCTCCTGTATTGGCAAGCAGGCTCTCTACCACTAGTGCCACCTAGGAAGCCCCATACATATACTTTAACATACATATTTTGTAAGATAGACACTTTTCCCCCTGTCTCTATTTTAGTCTTTCCCTATCCATATCTTTGTCTTCTCCTCATTACATTAAATAAATGTTATATTTTATAATTTTAATGGATAAAGGTTTATTCTTAGATTTTAATTTTAAAGGTATATGAGTAAAGTATTACATTTTTTTTCCTTTTTTTTTTTTTGGTGACGGGTGACATGGGTCTTAGTTCCCCCACTAGGGATCGAACCCAGGCCCACAGCAATGAAAGTAGAGAGTCCTAACCACTGGACTGCCATGGAATTCCCCAAATGTTTTCATTTCTGATAAAAGGAGTTTTAGCTTTCTTTTCTCTTCTATTTTGTATACATTAACCTGTTTCTTTTTTAAAGATGCATCTATTTTATTGATGGCGGTGCTGGGTCTTTGCTGCAGGGCACAGGCCTCCGGTTGCAGGGAGCAGGGCTACTCTCTGGCTGCGGCGCTTGGGCCTCACTGCTGTGGAGGCGGGCTGTAGGCACGCCGGCTTCAGCAGCTGCGGCTGGTGGGCTCAAGAGCACAGGCCCAGTACTTGGCGGCACATGGGCTCAGCTGCTCCGTGGTACGTGGGACCTCCCGGACCAGGTACTGAAGCCACGTCTTTACCACTGAGCCACCAGGGAACCTCCACTGTGTACTTTTTAAAATGTCTTTTATTTTATTTTGCTAGGGAGTCAGTGTATCTAAAAGAAAGACTTCCCAACCATTGTTGGTCTGCTCTGGGTCCCTGGAGCAGAATCTCTCCTCCCGATGTCAAGTGCATCTCCCTTTCATTGCTGAAAGTTGAATTAAAAATACACATCTCAGAGATGACACTCTTTCCTTTCTAATGCTGTTTCTGATTACATTCTTGACACTCTCTCCTCTCCCGCGTCCACAATACATACTGTCCTCATCCTTTTTCCTGCTTACCTGACTCCTTTTCCTCTTTTGCCAGCTAGTCTGTTTTCTAAATGTGGCCATTCTCCATGGTTTGGTGCCCTCGCTATGGACTCTCCCTCACTTATTCTCTCAGCATCAGACATCATCTCTGCTCTGTGCTGCGCTTAGTCACTAAGTCGTGTCTGACGTTTTCTGACTCCGTGGACTGTAGCCCACCAGGCCCCTCTGTCCATAGGGTTTCTCCAGGCAAGAATCCTGGAGTGGGTTGCCATGTCCTCCTCCAGGGGATCTTTCCAACCCAGGGATTGAACCAGGGTCTCCTGCATTGCAGGTGGATTCTTTACCAGCTGAGCAACCAGGGAAGCCCCCATCTCTGTTCTAACAGCTATCAAATATCTCTCCTCAACTCTATTCCCTCACCAAAGCTCTGGTTACCCAGCTTCAGCACTTACTGGATATTTTTAAAGGGATGTTCTCTATAACAACACACACAATCATGCAAAAATCACTTTCACTGTTCTTCCCAAGTGGAGTCTGCCTTCCAATTTCTATTTCATCTGGCATGAATGACTATTGCAATCATCTCAGCTAGAAAGATTAGGTCCCTACGGCTCATTTCCTTTGTGTCAGAATAAACTAATGGGATGTAGTGTGGAATTAAATCTAACCCCAGGACTGCCATTACTTACTGTGTGATCTTGGATTAGTTACTTACTCTCTGAGCCTAGATTTTCATCTGTGAAATAGGATCAACAATAGCTATCTCACAGGGTTTTAAGGATCAAATGACCCACACTGCGTGCTGGACACAGTTGGCAAGCAATAGCTTCTCTCATCACTTACCAGATTTTGCCCATTCTTCCTCTGAAGGTCTCTCATATGTCTACTCCCAATTCTAACTCTTAGTCACACCTGGTTACTCTAATAACCTCTCAGCCACCTGCCTTAAATCTAGCCTCTTTAATCCATCTTTCACACTGCTGTCAAAATTATCTTAAAACTAAGTGTTGGTTACCAACGGGGAAAGAGGGGCAGAGATTTAGAAGATTTGGATTAACATATATACACTACTATACATAAAATGGGCTTCCCTTGTGGCTCAGCTGGTAAAGAATCCACCTGGGTTACCATGCGGGAAACCTGGATTTGACCCCTGGGTTGGGAAGACCCCCTGGAGAAGGGAAAGGCTACCCACCCCAGTATTCTGGCCTGGAGAACTCCATGGACTGTATAGTCCATGAGGTCGCAAAGAGTCAGACATATCTGAGTGACTTTCACTTCACGTACATAAAAGAAGACCAACAAGGACCTATGGTATAGCACAGAGAATTATATGTGTGTGTGTGTGTGTGTGTGTATGAATCACCGTGACATATACCAAAAATTGAAAAAATATTATAAACCAACTATACTTCAATAAAAGAAAAAATAATCTTCTTACAATATATATTATCAAATGATATTCTTATTAACAAAGTGCTCAACAGCCCCCTAATAATCAAGGCCTGTTCAGCTTTCATGTTTGCTGCAAATCTACTCTTTCAAACCTATTTCCTCTCACTTCTCATCACAAATATCCCGATTAACTGGCTTCCCCACCTCTATACACACAGCAAGATGTTCCCCACCATCATGCCATTGCTCAGATTACTCCTTCCCTCTGCTCTCCTGGTCTTCCCCTTTCCTGACCACTGGCTGGACTTCAAATCTGTACCGAGCACACACTTCCTATGCTCGCCACTGGTTTTCATTTCCCTGGAGTGCGTCACTATGTGAATCTTCTTTCTCCACTTTGATCATTTGTGGGTTATTACTCATGGGCCCCCTGTCTACTATGGTGTATCTTGGTGTAACCAAGCAGATTAAAAACTTCCAGATGGATTAAAAGAATGGAACAAAAGACAATTACCAGCAGTTCTAATTTAACGTACTTGAGTATTTAAAACATTAAAGACTTGCACTAGTTTCTTATTGTTTATGTTGTCTAAGTTTTTATCAGTCCAGCTTGAGTGGGAGCATCTTGAAACTAAAGATAAATGACTAACTTTTTCTGCATTCCCATAAACATCTAACACATTATAAGTACTTTAAAAAGTTTAGTACATCTTGGCTCTGAATAACAGAACAATGATTTCCCAGGCCAGGCATTTATCAACCCTCCATAGGGAAAGTTTTCTAATTCATATATTCCTTCCTAAGAAGATGCTTCTCTCTTTCCCATTCTCTGCTTCTATAGTAAGAATTCTACTGTAGTTAAGCCACTGTAATTGAAGAGTCCATGTCACAATATTTAATAGATGTAGACCACATGTTTTAAAAAAACAGGACAACGTGGTTCTCATCAAAAGCAGAGAAAAAGTAATTTTCAGCATTGTCTATGGACAAAATCCTCAAACAAACCTACCATAATCAGCTGGTGTATAATTCAGAAGTTCAAATCTCCAGTGTTTGTAGCTTGAATAATTCTGGTACATATCAAATATTTCTCGGGTAAATTGTTGGCAGATATCACCTAAAAGAAAATTTAAAAATATTCAGTCAGTATACATTTTTCAAAGTAGACATACAGATGGACAATAGGCACATGAAAAGATGCTCAACATCACTAATTATTAGAGAAATGCAAATCAAAACTACAAAGGAGGTATCGATTCACACTGGTCAGAATGGCCACTGTTAAAAAGTCTATGAATAACAAATGCTGGAGAAGGTGTGGAGAGAAAGGAACCCACCAACAATGCTGGTGTACACTGCTACAGTGTACATGAATGTAAACTGGTACAGTCACTATGGAAAACAGTATGGAGGTTCCTTAAAAAACTAAAAATAGAGTTGCCATATGACTCAGCAATCCTATTCCTGGGCATCTATCTGGAGAAAACTCTAAGGCACATGCACCCCAGTGTTCACTGCAGCATAATTTACAATAGCCAAGACATGGAAACAGCGTAAATGTCCACCGACTGATGAATAGATAAAGAAGGTCTGGTACACATATATAGTGGAATACTACTAAGCCATAGAAAAGAACAAAGTAATGCCGTCTGCGCAGCAATATGGATGGACCTAGAGATTATCTTACAAAGTGAAGTAAGTCAGAAAAGAAAGACAAATATCAAATGATATTGCTTCTATGTGGAATCTAAAATATGACTCAAATGAACTGATTTATGAGACAGAAACAGACTTACAGATACAGACATCAAATTTATGTTTACCAAAAGGGATAGGGGATGAGGAGGGATAAATGAGGAGTCGGGGACTAGCAGACACATAATACTGTATACATAATAGATCAACAACAACGTTCTACTGTATAGCACACTAGAATATATTCAATATCCTATAATAAATCAATAAAGAAATATGAAAAAGAATATATATATAGGTGTGACTGAATCACTGTATACTAGAAACTAAGACAACACTGTAAATCAACTATACTTCAATTAAAAAAAAATTTCTGCTTTTTCTAGGAAAAGAAATTCCAGGAAATTTTAGGAAAGTCCTCCTTGAAAGGCCCCTTAGGAGTTGAGAAGTAACTACTTCCAAAGGGAAACACATTTACCAAACTTTTAAAGTTATAGTGTGTCAAATCAAGGTAACATTCAAGTATTTTTTAAGATCATTTACAATAAAATTATTTTATTGACCTCCAGTCGTTCTTCCAGATGTCACTTCTAAAATAACATCATTTTTGTCATATTTCTCCTTTGGCAGTAGACCCTGGAAAAGCTGAAAAAGGGAGAAAAATCAGTATTAGTGTGTATAGTTTCCATGGTATGCTGTTATTACTTGAACTTAGATAAGAGATTCCCAAATATTAATAAAATCAGTAATTAATAAAATCATAGATCATCCCAAGAGGTCTGGCTTTAATAAGCAGACCTAATTAGGCCTAAGATAAGCAACCAATTTACATTAAACAATGAAGTTACTTGTTGGGATAGTTTCTACAATGCTATCAGATTATCTCAATTTTCTAAAACGCAGAAGTTCAGATCAAAGTCCAGGGTTCCATTCAATTTTCTTCAGATTCTGCTTCTAGTAGTCCGGAACAGTAGCTTCTTTCATCTAATGAAAGAAAGCTTTCAAAGTCTTCATATGGAGAAAATGAGGACTTTTCATATATGATTACATGTTCTCTCCCGCAATAAATGCCAGTGCCAGGCCATGCCCTATCTTCTCAGCAGAGTTGGTTTAAAGAGTAGATTGAGGACTCCCAAGATAAGGCTCAAATATCTTCTCAGTGTAATAAGAAAAAGAGGGACTTGCTGATAAAGAAAGTAACCAATTTCCCTCTTAGGAAGAAAAAGGAAGCAGCTTTATTTTTATTATTACTAAAAGGTCTTTCAAATCAAACTGAAATTACCCATGTATCACGACTCTTCCTACTGACAGTTTTTGAAATAGTCCACCTCTGCTAGAAATGTTATGGCCTGATGGAGAGAATATTAGACTAGGAGTCAGACGTCTGACTTCTGTTTTTGACTAGCTGTTTCCATCAGGGAAAAAAATATTGATATATCCACCACATCCTCCTCAACCCCTCAAACAGCTCTTCCAGAGATTATTATCATACTAAATGAAGTAAGCCAGGCAGAGAAAGACAAGTATCATATACTGCTGCTTATCTGTGGAAACTTAAAAAAAAAAAAAAGGATACAAATGAACTTATTTACAAAACAGAAACAGATGCACAGACATAGAAAACAAACTTAGGGTCATCAAAGGGAAAAGGGGAGGGAAAAATTAAGAGTACAAGAGTTGGTGATGGACAGGGAGGCCTGGCGTGCTGTGATTCATGGGGTCGCAAAGAGTCGGACACAACTGAGTGACTGAACTGAACTGAACTGATACTACTATATATAAAATAAACAAGGACCTACTGTATAGAAGAGGGAATTATACCGAAAATTTTGTAACAACCTATAAGGAAAAAGAAGCTGAGAAAGAAGATACATATGTATGTGTGTGTGTGTGTGTGTGTGTGTGTGTGTGTGTGTGTGTATGTAACAAAATAACTGTACTCTACACTTGAAGCTAACACAACATTGTAAATCAACTGTACTTCAATTAAAAAAACAAAGCCCATCTACTGGATTCCTAGAGTAGGGAAGACTGAAGGTAGGAGGATGGCAAACAGGACAAAGGGGAACATAAGATGCAGTGCTGTATCTTCATTTTAGACAATCCATCCACTGAGCTAGAAAGGGCTAGAGACTTACATTAATCCATTGTCTCTACAGTCTTGGATTCCCTTCCATAATTAACCTAAGCAGCAGCAACCACTCCCTCTTTCTAAGACTTAAAAACTCTGGACTCCTCCCCTTGTTGAAGTAGATTCAGCTTTGGAATACTTTTGCCTGGAGGTAGGGGGGCTTGTTCTTTTCTTTGCCATCACAATCTCTTCACTCAATCTCATTCTGTTGTAAATTACAGCACTAAACCCAACATTTTCAATCTTTCTAAGAGAAGACTTAATAAAACTGGTGTTCAGAAAGTACTTTAAGCACCAAAACATAATCTAGCAAGAACAGTATTCCTTTATATTCACAGTATTAGGTTCAGTTTACCTCTTAAAACATACCTCAAAAAACAAAACAAAACAAAACAAAAAAACATACCTCACTGTATAACATGCTGATTTTCTGAGCAATGGTTTGCCTCTCTTCCAATGCAAGTTCTTGTAGCTGTTTTTCATCTTGTTTATTCAGACCTACAAACCACCAAATAATAGTAAAAATGTTCAAATACTCACCAAGAAACTTTTAAATAGCTACCTAATCTCAATCTACTGAATTTTATCTTGTGAAGGCAAGGGATTATAAAAAAGAACTATTAACAATAGTTAGAGAATATCAATTAAGTATTTGGTAAGTATGTCCAAAAAACTTGGGTGAAAACAAGTATAATCTTGTTCCAAAGAGCTGGTGATATGAATGTCTATAAGTAAATATAAAAATCAGTGATGAGATCTTCCCAACCCAAATAAGCTAAGTTTCAGAGTAAATTGGGGTGACTACTTGTCTAAAGGTGGCAGCCATTGGTTTCCACACTGAGTACTCTAGTATGGCTAGAACCTCCGTTTTTTTAAGTCAGAAATAAGAACTCTTAAAATTTTGAACGCTCTTAAAAATGCTCATCCTTAGTAAACATTTTTTTAAAACACCACATGGGTCAAAAACCCACACATCTTGGCGACCTCTGCTTTATGGAAAGAATGGTTCTTTTCACATTTCAAAGCAGAAAATTAAATCCTGGAACTCACAGAACAAGCTCTCAATGAGATAGTGGCCAAAACAGGGTGAATCCCATAACCTCTGATCCCATCGCTTAGATGCCTAGAGACTGATGTGTGCTAAATGATTTTTTTTTGATTCTTAATAATTTAAAAAATTAGAAATGAAGACTCATAAAAGACAGAAGGCTCTTTAAAATCCTTCTCTAATCATGGAAGTCATCGGGGTCTGGTGGAATTCTATGCCTCATTCCGTCTTTCAACATTTAACACTGGCTCTAGTTGCTTGGGACCCGAGGATGAATAAAACACGATTCAGGTTTCAAGGGGCTCAGTCTGCTGGCAAAGATGGACACACTCACCTGGTTACAAGAGGTAGTAAGAATGGTGCCACTGAGGCCTGAAGGGTGGTCTAGCCGAAGATTCCTAAATAAGGTGCCATCTGAACTGCATCTCTTCCTTTTGTGTGTGTGTGTGATCTCAGCTCCCTGACCAGGGATCAGACCCGCACTGCCTGCATTGGGAGGTGACGTCTCAGCCATGGGACCACCAGGAGGTCCCTGGCCTCAATTTCTAATTATAAATGGCCTGTTGCAGAACTGTACCATCACTGCTGGCCTCGCCTTGTGCTCGTAAGCCTCAAACGGTAGGCAGGCTGCTGTGACTCAATGTGTCGGCTAGGTAAAAGGTGTACCAGAAAAACCTGCTGATTTGCAACCATATAAAATTACTTTTGTGGTCTTTTATTCCTTACTGAACTGTAAAATTGAACCTGTAAAATCAGTTTCACCAGAGTCAATTCATTGTCAAGAGATCCAAGAGTCTATTATACCCTGTGACTGGTGCTGCAGGAAATAAAAATAAGACATAGGCCCTGTGCTTGAGGCTCAGGGAAAGGGACTGAAGTTAAGACAATTACGTAAAGGATCAGAACACAAAACCGAGAAAGGTAATCATACAGAGGGGAGTGAAGCCAAAGTATGATATTCAAGCCATACTTTGTAAGTGGACTGAATTTCAAGAAGATGAAATTGGTGGGTTAACAACATGAGCAAAAATATGGGATGGTCTGAGTATATCCAGGAAATGGCAAATTGTCTATTTTGGTCAGAAGATAGAACATGCAAAGGGAATTAATAGACTACAGAGAGAGGTGGGGGTCACTCTGCGGGGACTCTTAAATGCCAAGCCAAACAATCTATATTTACAGGCAATGGGATTTACTGAAAATTCACAGCAGAAAAGTAGTATAGTCAAGGTTGTACTTAGGCTGGGAACCCCTCATAGCTCAGTTGGTAAAGAATCTGCCTGCAATGCAGGAGACCCTGGTTTGATTCCTGGGGCAGGAAGATCCTCTGCAGAAGGGATAGGCTACCCAACTCCAGTATTCTTGGGCTTCCCTTGTGCCTCAGCTGGTAAAGAATCTACCTTCAATGCGGGAGACCTGGGTTGGGAAGATTCCCTGGAGAAGGGAAAGGCTACCCACTGCAGTATTCTGGTCTGGAGAATTCCATGGACTGCATAGTCCATGCAGTCACTAAGAGTTGGACATGACTGAGCGATCACTAGGCTGGAAAAGCTTGGAGATGAGACTACAAGTTAGGAATTTATTGTAGGCATCTTTGATGAGCTATAAGGAAGATATAAAGTAGTGGAAAGAATAGGAGAAGACTCATACAAGATATATTACAGAGGTAGACTCTATATTGGACTTTGAATCTTTGGGCAGTGAATAAGAGTAGCAGCTGTGGAATCTCACTGATTGGGTTCAAATCCCTGCTCCTCTCTGGACTAGCTAAGTGACCTTTGGCATTTTAACCTCTCGGTTTCTTCATCTATAAAGTGGGAATATTATTAAAAATTCCTACCTCTTAAGGTCATTGTGAGCATTCAAATGAGATTAATATTTGCAAAATACTTAGCTTAGTGCCTGGCACATAATAAGACTTAGTAAATGTAGCTATTATCACTATTATTATAAAACAGCAGAATTGTAGTAGAAACTTTAGGAGCAATCTACTAATTGAATCTACTAATATTGCATGATACAAACATGGCTGAAAGAGTTTGCGTCAGTTTAATTCAGGAAACACTTAGTAAGCTCCTATTATGTGCAATAGGGTGTGATCCCTGAGTTGGGAAGATTTCCTGGAGAGGGGAATGGCAACCCACTCCAGTATTCTTGCCTGGAAAATTCCATGGACAGAGGAGCCTGGCAGGCTACATACAGTCCATGGGGTCGCAAAGAGTTGGACATGACTGAGTGACTAACATGCAAAATATGTGCAAGCAACTTTCCCAAATAATTGCAAATTTGAGAGGAATTATGCAAAGGAGTAAAAAATAATACACATTAAAAGAGGTGAGAAGGGCTTCCCTGGTGGTCCAGTGGTTAAGAATCCGCCTTTCAGTGCAGGGGGCACGGGTTAATCCCTGGTCTGGGAAGATCCCACATGCTGCAGGGCAACTAAGCTTGTGCACAGCTACTGAAGCCCACAAGCCCTAGGGTTTGTGCTCCACAAAAAGAGAAGCCAACACAATGAGAAGCCCAGGCACCGCAACTAGAGAGAGGTCCCGCAACTAGAGAAAGACTGTACACAGCAAGAAACACCCAGTGCAGCCAACAATAAAATAAATACATAAAAAAATTTTAAGTATATGCTTAAAAAATAAATATATGCATATTAAAAAAAAAGAGGTAAGAAACTCACAGGACCACTAATAGAAGGCAGAAAAAGGTTAAGGGTTTGGACATCCAGGACTTTACAGGTATAACTGTGACTGGCTGCAATATTGCTTAACATCTCTAAGGCTTAATGAAACATGATGATACACAGAATAAAGCTTATAAACTAAACTAAAAGCTAATAGCAAAGTAAGTGTTGAATCCTAGGTTAATCCATTATACTTTTTTCTCAACTTCTATATATTTTGGAAACTGTTTATAAAAGAAAAATGTTAAGACAATAATAATGTTAAGAGATACTAAAACTGAAAATTAACACCTCTCACATTAGGTATATAAAATTAACTCAAGTAGATCAATGACCTAAATATAAGGGCTAAAAATATAAAACTCTTGGAGTAAAACACAGATCTGAATTTTTGTGATTGTGGGTTTCTTAGATATGGCACCAAAACACAAACAAGAGGGAAAAAAAAAATAAACCTCATCAAAATTAAAAATGGTGGTGCTTCAAGGGATGATGCACAGAATGGAAGAAAAATTCTGAAAATAATATATCTGATAAGGAACTTGTATCTATAACATAAAGAACTCTTACAACTCAGTAACAAAAAAGACAACTCAATTAAAAAATGGGCAACGGATTTTAGAGTCATTTATCCAAAGGTGACATACAATAGGTACATTCATCAGAGAAATGAAAGTCAAAATCACAGTAAGCTACCATTTCATACACTAGGATGGCTAGAATAACAAAGGTGGATCACAAAGGTTGGAGAGGATGTGGAGAAACCTGAACTCTCATACATGGGAGATGGAATGTAAAATAGTGCAGCCACTTAGGAAAACCTGTCAGGCAGTTCCTCAAAAGATTAAACCTGGAGTTACCACACAACAATATATGTCCACACAACAACTTGTACACAAATATTCCTAACAGCATTGTGCATAGTAACCAAAAAGTGGAAACAAATCAATAACCAACAACTGATGAATGTATAAATAAAATGTGAGATATCTATACAATGGGACATAATTCATCAATAAAAAGAAATGAAGGTCAGAAACATGCTACAACGAAATTGAACCTTAAACATATCCTAAGTGAAAGAAGCCAAGCACATAAGGTAATATATTGGATGATTCCATTTATATACAATGCCTGAAATAAGTAACTGGGTAGAGACAGAAAGTAAGGCTGGAAGGGATGGCAGGATTGGGACGAGATGGCTAAAGGGTGCAGGGTTTCCTCTGAGGGTGATGAAACAATTCCCGTACTACATGAGCCCTCTGATGGGATAGAAATTGTAGTTTTGAGTCCATGGTATGTAGCATCTAGGACAGAGCTCAACAAAGATCTATTCAATAAATTAAAGCTTCTGAAAAGGTCAGTATTCAGTCTCCCAGACCTTAACAGCATCTCGGCGAGTACCATGAGGATCTCAGTCTCATAGTAGGAGTTACTCTTTAGTAACTGTCAGACACCCAGACTATACAGTACAGAATCCTGTCCTTTCCAATTGTAGGGCTTATTACTTGTTGGTTTTTTAAGAGCTCGAGTTCAATATAGCTTTAACTTAGAGACTCAATCCTGTACTTGTACACACACACATCTTTTACCTACTTTTACACATTGATTCTAATTCTTCAATGGCTTGTTCAGCCTCCTGAATTTCTCTGTAAATGACCACAAGCGGGGCCAGCTCAGCATGCCGTCGAGTCAAGCACCTCCGGTCCCCTTCACTGGCAGAGATGTGTTGCAAACAATGATCAAGTGTTTGGTACTCTTTACTCAGGGCCTCCATATATTTTTGTAGTGCTTTATGCTTCCAGAGCATGCTGGTATCTTGATGACAGTATCTCCTGGAGCAATTCTTATTTAACAGACGATGGAGAACGTGATTCCTGTTTCGCCTAAAGACCCACAGCCTTGTGTCAAGAGGGATCTGTGTAAGCTGATGAGAATGGTGATGGATGTGGCACTGGAGGTGACCATTAAGAGACAGATGTCTAAAAAGACAAGCAAATAGGTGACGATTCATCTCAGCATCTGAAACAAAATAAGCACAAGTTGAAAAATATCAACTCCACAGACAGAAAAACGGGGAGGAACCTCAAGCAATCTAGCTCAGTTCACTGCCTCAGCCAGCTCCAAACAAAGTCCCCAAATTCAATAACCCACAAAGGAAAACAATTCTTCAAATCTCTGAATCAAACAAAATAAATGAAGACAGCACTGTTTTCCACCCACTCACCATATATAGTTAACTAAGGCAAATGAGTAAGAGCATAATGAATAAATATATCAATAGAATAGGTTGTATCACCTATTTCTTATAACATATCCAGAATCTAAAATTGAGAATTGAGTGTGTGAATAAGCACAAGTGCAAAATAACATGCAAACTTAGGTGGCTCACATATTAACAGATTTTTTAATTTGAAGGAAATACTACTTCCTTGTCTATTACTTTACTTTTAGGTACCCAGATGCCCAAGAAGCCAAGTAACTTAATCATGATTATTCATTCTACCAGTTTCAGGCAGAGTTGAGGCGAATGCAAGTTGCCTGTTCAGAGCTCAGTGTTTTTCATTCCTAACTATGCAATCTCTCTTCAAAGATGCTTCCCTTTTAGCTGAGATTGAAAGGATAAAAACATTACATATTAATAGTAAAAAATGTAGAAATTTGGCTTTAAAAAAAAGACAATGAAGCTAATTATACTAAATGAAAAGAGCAGATTCAAAAACAATATATTATCAATTAGGTTTTCAAAATTTCTACAGTATACGGAATACACGGATTTATGGGGACATAACCCCTCATAATTGAGGAAGATTTTTATTTTGAAAAAGGAAAACTAGATAAAAATACACACCAAAATGTTAATATTATGGTCTCTAGTTGTGAGATTATGGATACTTTTTCCTTTTCCCCTACTTTTTAGTATTTTCTGAATTTCCTATACATACAGCACATAGTATTTTTACAAAGAAAAAATACAAGTTAGGTGAATTTGGCTGTGTCCAATAACTATCTGTTCTCCTTCCCTCTAACAGAGATAACTAAAAGAGCTAACAAAGGTACACAATTGTGATTGTTGAATAAGAAAGGGAAAAGATAAAATGTTCTAAGAAAAATCCTTTGCCCCTAGAATCCTGAGGTTCGAATTTGAAATAAGGGTCAAAACTGATCAGAATCAACCTTTATTGTCTCCAGTGTTCCTACTATGCTAGGTGTTATTAATATATTAGTTCAGTTTATCATTGTAAGTCGCCTAACTTGGATATCATTATTTCCTAGGAAATAGAATGGTGTCTAAAATATTCAAAGTTTGCAGGGTTCTGCTAACAAAATGTAACTTAATCACACTCTAAAGAGGGCACCAATGTCCAGTAGCCACAAATGCTAGTCCTCCAGGAGGAGTTACCACTCGCCTTCACATTGAGACAGGCTGGGACCCCGGACCCCCTTGGTAGCCCTGCACCTGGACAAACACCTCCAGGAGCAACAAAATAGGCAGAACTATAAGGGACTTAAAATAACTGCATGCATGCGCAGTTGGGGCAAACTCTGAACAACTAGATACAGAGACCAAAAAGCCCAACTGCCACCTCCCAAGAGCCTGAAGAGCTGGAAGTAAAAGCTTGGTACTGGGCTTGACCCCTCAAAGGGATGGACAGACCACTTAAGCTACCCCCGCTTCCGACCCTCGGACGCGAACAAGCTTGCCTATCTCTCCCCACCCCCAGCAAGTGAGCAAGGAAGCAAACTTGTTCTGGCTGCCCCCTGCTGTAGCCGGAGCTTCAATAAAGCCTTGTCTCAATTTCCTGACTAGCCTCTTTACACTTTCTATTGATTAAGGAGGCCAAGAACCCTGATGGGTAGCAACATCTAGTCTCCATCACAGAAGGTGTGTCCATTTGAAAAAGGACAGAGAAAAAAACGGCAAAAAGATTTTTGTTGAAACACTTCTAGCTAGAGTTCCTTTTTAGGAATAGTCAGTAGAAGGGGGAGGACAGAGGATGAGATGGCTGGATGGCATCATCGACTCAATGGACAGGAGTCTAGGCAAACTCCCAGAGATAGTGAAGGGCAGGGAAGCCTGGTGAAGGGTCGGACAGCACGGAGCGGCTGAACAAGTGAAATACCTCTCTAGGTCGTGAACTTCAATGCTAAGTAACCCCCAGGACCTTCACCCTCTAGGGTTATCTATACTTGAGAACTGCAAGTCTTCTCCATCACCCCTCAGCCCCTCGCCCCCATACACACAAACAGTTAACAAGATTAATCTGAAATTCTAGGAACTCTCAGCCTCTGCAAATCAGAAGCGACATTAAGCCGGCACGAGGGTATCACGTGTAAGTTACGCTGTGTTACTCGGTATCAGGAATGATCCCGTATGGAGGCACCATGGGATGGGAAAAAGCTAGAGAAAGAAAACAGACTATTTAGATCAGGAAAGAGAAATGAACTCTGAGTACTTAAAAAAATTAAGGACACTAGGTTTCCTTACTGAAGTCGGAACCTTCTGTGATCCACTACATTTCAGCCCAGCGGTCACCGGATCCCTTTCACCTCCGGGTTCACCCAGTCTGGGTTAGAGCCCGACCCCGCCTCCTCGGGCGTCTCCACTCCTCTGCGGAAGGAGTCCTTGAGTGTGCGCAACATAAACTAACCGAGAAAACGATACAGCAAGAAAACTTCCCACGAGACGGCCGTGGGCTTGCTCATCTGGAGTCGGAGCCCAAAGTGCGGCTTGCCAGGGGAGGGCGAGGGGAGGAGTGCGGGGAACGGGGCCCGCGTGTTGAATGAACCGCGACTCGCGGGAGCGCCGGCCCGGGAATCCTGGGAGTTGTAGTTTCTGTCCGACAGGCGCTCCGCCCCCAACCCCCTAGGCCGAAGCTGCAGCTTCGGTTTTCACAGCTTCAGGCGAGCTCAGAAGGGAGGTTCTCTACAGTTCTGATTAAGAGCTCAAGATATACAAAAATTTCCTTACATGTGGAGCCACTCGAGCAGAGATTCCTGATTTTTTTTTAAATGAAGATTTCAAAGTTTACAGGATTCTGAACGTTAATAGCTGTACTTTTCAGCTTTCCTTGCCTGAGAAAATACCTAATGGCTAGTTGAGACTGTACATGTATATCTTTAAAAAATCATGCTTAGATAGCGAGTTGTGTTCCACACTTTGTGACCCCCATGGACTATAGGCTTCCAGGCTCCGGTGTTCATTCTCCAGGCAAGAATCCTGGAGTGGTTACCATTTCCTCCTCCAGGAGGTCTTCCTTACACTGGTCAAGTCCTGGTCTCCCACATTGCAGGCAGATTCTTTACCACTAGCACCACCTGGGAAGCCCTAAATGTCGTAAGGAGGATACAAAATATGGGAGACCATATATAGTTACAAGTTAGTGACTTTATATCTGTTGTATATGCATAAACAGAATTTGGGGGCTCAATTGAGGTTTGTAAACCACGAGTTAAGTAAAGCATTGAAAAACATAAATAATAAACAATTCTAGCAAAATGCAAATATATTACCTTACTTTAACTATTCAAGTAGGATACTTATTTACATTGCAGATCACATTTACAAGTCATTTGAACTCTGTGCCTCAGTATTTCTTCCTGAAAAGCAGGGGCAACAAGAATTCCATATTACCAACTTCACAGAATATTTTCTTAGGTTATGAACATAACTATAAAAGGGGGAATTAGGCATAAATATAAATATCTAACATTTATTACCTATTTCAAGGTATCCACTTCTACCAACTACATATTGGATACTATTCTAAATGGCTTAAGCCTTTTATTTAATTTAATCCTTACAACAACCCTAAAATAACCCATTTTGCATAAGAGAAATCCATGGCACAGAGAGTTTTAGTAACTTGTCCAAGGAAAAGAATTAGTGATAGAGCTTACCTGTCTTGATAATCTATGGCTCTTAAGCTCTGATACTAGCTCCCTCCTCCAGAGAAAAAAGAAAGGAAAGCATTCAGTCATTCATTCAGTAGATATGGAGCACTAGTTATGTGCTTCTCACTGTTCTAATGTGAGAATTTAGCAATGAATAGAAAAGACAATAGTCTCTGACCTCACAAATTCCAGAAACTGAAAGTCACTCAGTCATGTCTGACTCTTTGTGACCCCATGGACTTCTCCAGGTAAGAACACTGGAGTGGCTAGACGTTCCCTTCTCCAGGGGATCTTCCCAACCCAGGGATCGAACCCAGGTCTCCTGCACTGCAAGCAAATTCTTAACCAGCTGAGCCACCAAGGAAGCCCCACAAATTCCAGAGGAACCACATAAACCATTCTCCTAAATTATTCAACAAAATCTTTTGACTTTTTATTTTGATATCTTATTCAAATATATAACTTAAGTAGTACTTTTAAGGCTTTCTTCTTAAAAAATAAACCTTAGTGCCTATGGATTGAATTGTAACTGTTCCAAATTCAATTTATTAAAGCTAACACTGCTGACAAAGGTCTGTATTGTCAAAGCTATGGTTTCTCCGGCAGTCATGTACAGATGTGAGAGTTGAATCATAAAGAAGGCTGAGTGCCAAAGAATGGATGCTTTTGAACTGTGGTGCTGGAGAAGACTCTTAGAGTCCCTTGGCCAGAAGGGGGATCAAACCAGTCAATCCTGAAGGAAATCAACCCTGAATATTCACTGGAAGGACTGATGCTGAAACTGAGGCTTCAGTACTTTGGCTACCTGATGCAGTGAGCCACCTCACTGGAAAAGACCCTGATGCTGGGAAAGATTGAGGGCAGCAGGAGAAGGGGATAACAGACGATGAGATGGTTGGGTGGCATCACTAACTCAAAGGACATGAATTGAGCGAACTCCAGGAGATGGTGAAGGACAGGGAAGACTGGTATATGCACTTCATGGGGTTGCAAAGGGTCGGACATGACTTAGTGACTGAACAACAACAATGATGCAAATACATAACTTAAGTAGTACATATAAAGCTTTCTTTTTAAAAAATAAGCCTTGGTGCTGTGGATGAATTGCATCCCTCCCAA